GCGGGGGAGCCTGTGGGGACGGGGGACGGGGTGGGGATGGGGGACACGGTGGGGGACAGAGGAGGGATGGGGACATGACAAGGACAGGGGACACTGGGGACAAGGGACACTGTGGAGCCCGTGGGGACGGGGGACATGGTGGGGACGGGGGAAGCTGTGGGGTTGGCTGTCCCCAGGCTGGCAGGGTGAGGGGACATGGTGGTGTCCCCAGAAAGAGGTGACACAGCGCGGTCTGGCCTCTTGGAGATGGCGGAACGCGGTGGAGTCCCCCGTTCTTGGTGACAAGGGTGACAAAGATGTTGTCCCCATCCCCGTTGACGTCCCTGTCCCCAGCGCGGGGCTCTTGCCACGGGTGACAGGGGACACTGCGGTGTCCCAGGCCAATGGTGACAGGGGATGAGAAGCCCCGTGGGCTGGTGCCAGCAGGTGCCGAGAGGTGACGGTGGGGTGACAGCAGGGACACCCGGGGTGACGGTGACGCTCACCCTCGTAGTTGACCTGTCCGTCACCGTCGATGTCGGCCTCTCGGATCATCTCGTCCACCTCCTCGTCCGTCAGCTTCTCCCCGAGGTTGGTCATCACGTGCCGCAGCTCCGCCGCGCTGATGTACCCGTTGCCGTCCTGGGGTTGGGGACACGACGGTGACACCGCTGCCTCGTCCCTGTTCCCCCCGGCCCCATCCCTGTCCCCCATCCACCTTGTCGAAGACGCGGAAAGCCTCTCGGATCTCCTCCTCGCTGTCCGTGTCCTTCATCTTCCTCGCCATCATGGTGAGGAACTCGGGGAAGTCAATGGTGCCGTTGCCTGGGAAGGGAGGGACGGTGAGGAGGGGACAAAGAGGGGACAGGAGGGGACACGGGGGGACAGGAGGGACTCACCATCGGCGTCCACCTCGTTGATCATGTCCTGCAGCTCGGCCTCGGTGGGGTTCTGGCCCAGCGAGCGCATGACGGTGCCCAGTTCTTTGGTGGTGATGGTGCCGTCCCCGTCCTTGTCGAAGAGCGAGAACGCCTCCTTGAACTCTGGGGACCGTCACCGCGGGGACGGGGTCACACACTGCCACCAGCGGGGACCAGGGACAGCCGGGGGTGGGGGTGGGGGGGGTGGCCCCAGTGCTGCGCCTGTGTCACCCTGATGGCCAACAGCCCCTCCTGCGGGCCATGGTGTCACCCCCGTGACACGCCAGTGTCCCCTTCTGGGTGTCCCACTGTAATGTCCCCTGCTGGGTGTCCCACTGTCACTCCGGCACCCCAGTGTCACCTCCTGGGTGTCACCCTGTCACCCCAGCAACCCAGAGTCTCCTCCTGGATGTCCTCCTATCACCTCAGCACCCCAGTGTCACCTCCTGGGTGTCACCCCGTCACCCCAGTGTCCGTGCCTAGGTGTCCCCGCTGTCACCCCAGCACCATAATGTGCCCTCCAGAGTGTCCCCACTGTCACCTCAGCACTGTAATGTCACCTTCTGGGTGTCCCCACTGTCATTTCAGCACCCCAGTGTCCCCTCCTGGGTGTCCCCGTCACCCCAGTGTCCCCTCTTGGGTGTCCCGCTGTTACCCCAGCACCGTAATGT